AAGAGTTCATCATAAAGAGTCCCTCTTTCTCCATTAAGTCGGCCAGCTGCTGGCCCCTTCGATTCCGTTGCCCTACTCCATATTTCCCTAACTTCAGCTCACCGTTTTCTCTTGTGCCTAGTTTTGCGTTGAAGTCTCCCATCAACACCGTGTAGTGGGTTTTGGAGGAATGCATGGCTTTGGAAATATCCTCATACATTTCCTCCACCTCCTCATCGGGATGTGCCGAGGTTGGTGCGTAAACCTGTATGACCTTCAGCGAATACCGTTTGGTGATTCTGAGTATCAGGTACGCGACCCTCGTCGACACACTCCCAATCTTTACAACGTTGTTGACGAGAGACTTGTGGACGATAAATCCGACACCTCCTTGGGACAGATGGTCGCCCTCACGGTGATAGAACAAGTTGCCGGATTCGAGAATCACCGTGTCCTCCCCCTCTCTTCGGACCTCGGATAATCCTATAATATTCCCGCGCAACTTGTCTAGCTCTTCTTCCAGCTCCAGGATCTTCTCGTCAGTCCTCAGGGTGCGTGCGTTAAATGTTGCCAGGTCGAGTCGTCGTAGGTGGCAACCGAACCTCCACCGGAGATTCTTAGCACCCCCTGCCCCGCCGTTACCATGGTCGCCACCGTAGCCAGGAATAGCGGAGCCGCCGGGGACTGGTGGCCGTCTATTTGTGTAATTGTTTATGCAATATACCCCATATTGCCATAGTTGCCAAGCTTGGCGAGCGGGTTGGCAACCGCAGTTTTTTTGTCGTACAGTTGCTGTTATCAGGAAGATGCTGCTGCCCATCTCCTGCCTGTTTAACTGAAGAGTACCTGTACTGAAGTAACCTGAAGAGTATAGAGTCAGCATAATTACATACTGTTAGACATTCTATCTTTGTCCTCAGAAGTGAACTCATCTGTTGTTTAAGGTTGTCCATAGGCTGCAGTACCCACTTACCATCAGGTAGACTGTGACTTCGAAAGTAACCAGGCATCACACATTGCAGGTGTACTGAAACAAATAAAGTCGCATCGCATCGTCGGTCAAGAATTGATAGGATAAACAGACAAGATTATTTGGATTATAGGATTATCCCATCGCTCGCTTTCAGGGTATTATATTAAGTTTATTTAAAAGTGTATCAAGTGGTCGGACCAATATCAGTCAATCGGTTTATCTGTCACGAAATTTGTAGAAGCAGCCTCGAGACAAGAAGTTGGCAGAGTTTCTCCCACGCGCCTCGTAAAGCACGTAAAGCCGTTGGTCCTACAATTGATTGTCGTCCCACGGGGCTAAGATTCGGGCGCATTCATTCATTCATTCATTTATTCAAACAGCCAATTAAGCATGAATGGGTCGGCCCGACCGGGGAAGGACCACGCTCTTATGGAATACCAACTCGACAACAGCGCAACCTACCGGGTCAAAACATGAATATTAACCATCTAGTGACCTATTTAAACACAAAAAATTTCATCAAAATCTGTTGAATGGTTTCAAAGTCGGTAGATACGTTATAATATTTGAGTATAATAAATAAATATTTAAAATTCACGTTTCACAAGACTTTCACGTTTGTTAAACTTGCGTTAATTAACATTGAAACACTTGATAATTATGTTACCTTTTCATGTATCCTCAACAATAAGGAACATTGCACGTTTGTTTGCACGTGCACCGCTGGCAAACAAGTAACAAAGAGACAAAATCTCGAGCAAACATACTGCAATTATTTATTAAATAGAACTGAAATATGAAGATACACATTTTTGTCCTAATTATTTTCAATATTGGTAGCTTCTACATATGAACTTACGAGCACCGTCATTGATCAAAACAAGAATAAACAGATGTCCGATTAAAAATGATTGTTGTAGCTTTAAATTAAAATAGTATATCGTATTTAAATTTCCCAAGGTTGCGATCAAGTTTAGCTAGAATAAAACTAAAATTCTACTACACGGTCACTGTCATGGACTAGAGTTTTTATTTTTATTAAGTTTTTATTCAGAAACCGGGTCTCCGTTTGGACTGGGCGCCGTGACCGAATTCTGGAGGGCATTATTATTATTATTAGTTTGCTAAGCTTTGGGTTCCATTCTCACACAGAATAATTTGTTTGGCCTACAAATAACTGTAACGAGCGATGATGAAGATGTTTTTGTGATACTGTCTTGGGCAGAAACCGGGTCTCCGTTTGGACTGGGCGCCGTGACCGAATTCTGGAGGGCATTATTATTATTACTTTGCTAAGCTTTGGGTTCTATTCTCACACAGAATAATTTGTTTGGCCTACAAATAACTGTAACGAGTGATGATGATGTTTTTTTTAATATAAGTCAGTGCTTGACAACTCACCCACCTCCTAGTAGTGATGAAGATGCAGTGATGCCGAATATGATGAAGCGCACTGACTTGGTATATAAAAATCCTATTCACTCTTACCTTAAAGACATTCACATTATAATCAGTATTTGATGACGTTTGTCAATGTACATATGTATGTATGTATGAAAAGGTGCGGTAACGTTTTATTTAAAAAAAAAACGCTAGTTTCATTCAGGTTAGATAATAAAAAAGAAATGTCATCACATCACATCTCATACGTGGTAGAGCCACGCTGCAGCTATATTATGGTTGTAGTAAGAATGGGTCGGCTCGACCGGGGAAGGACCACGCTCTCACAAAATACTAGCGTAAAATAGAGGCTTAAGACTGCTATGTTTCTTATGGTGAGTGTAGAGATCCGGAGACCCCTTTTTACTGGATACGAGGCATTCCATCTTAGTTAGGGGTGACAACGCATCTGCGTTTTGATTCTTAATCGAGAAGAAATGTTGATGTCTATGGGCCACAGCATCCACTTACCATCAGATGGACTGTGTACAGTGTACTCTGACTGTGTAGGGTACACAGTCAGAGTATATAAAAAAATTCTTTTTATATAGAATTTTTTATATACTCTGACAATTTGAGCAATTTGCAGTTGGTAATATAAATGAAAGGAAAATGATGAAACTACAATTACAATCATAATAATCGACACAAATAACAATAATCAATTTGAACCAAAAAATGAGGTCGAAGAAGTATGGACTAATAGTTTGGAAACTCTTAAATTAGAAACCGACAGAATCAAATCAAATGAAATCCATTTATTGTGATCGACAGGTTGTAAGGTGGTTTACAAGGAAAAGATTCAGTCGCGCTGCAATTCACTATTTAGTATATAATATAAAACATTATTTCATTTATATTTTTAAATAAAATTTCATTTTCTTTTATTTCATTTTATTTATATTATTTTGTTATTGGCTTCTTGTAAATTTCGCATGTTATTTATTTAAGATTTGTAGGCTGTTGGTTTTCCATTACATAAAAATAAAATTTCATTACCACATGCAAATATTAAACAAACGACATTTTCAGTATAATGAAAGGGTTTCAGTACGAAGGTAGAATAAGTATAATTAAATGAAATAATAAGATTAAAACTAATAATTATAGAAATGTCATTAATTTAGTCATATTTTAATTAATTATTTGATGTCACTTAAATGGAAGAAGTTCTTGAATATAATAAAATGTATTGTCAGTTAAAAAATAACTGTGTGCAGATGAAATTTACAAATTAGGAAACAGGAACGTAGCGGGCAGCGGTGCCGATTTATAAAATATTAGTTTAAATATCGCAATACTCTAACAAAAATCTTAAAGACTATTTGGCTAGTTTTTACATAGAGAATAAATATCTGTCTTTAACCGCAACTTGAATATTGAGAACGGTCGTTCGAAGTTTTTACATTATGCCACTCAAATGATAATGTACAGTGCGGTGGCAGTGTATAAGAATTGATCAACACCTTTCTAATATTTCGTAAAATGCGACTGTGGGAAATGCCACAAAAATATCACGCCTTCCGATATAATATGGCGGCATACCATCATGTTTACGCCAGACGTAAAATACCACAGAATATTAAAAAGGCATTAGGAAAGAAAAAAATGTGTACCGACAGTTTGCAATATTTTAATAATTTTGCGCAATTGGCTATTAAGAAATAATAGACAACGATGACTTTGACTTTGATTAAATATGAGAGGCGATACAGAGTTCAGTGTCATAATTAAATAATTATTTGATTTAACATAATAATAGTGAAATAAATTAAATACCCACTAACATCCAATTGATTTGGCCACTCGTCTTCGTACATTCCCTTTGATGATGAATTTTATATGTAATGAAGAGTTCGCCGAAGATAACGATTAATGAAACAATAATTATGTCATCCAGACCGAATTTCGGTCACGGCCAATCTCAGCGGACTAGCCATCAGCGCTGGACAGGATTATAATGTCCATGCAAAAACAGGTGTACTCGCTACTCCCTCACTCTCATAGTCCGACGGGTCAGACGACGGAGAAAGATCAGGCGCAGGGTCAACAGCTAAACGTCCTTTCTAAGCCATGGGGGGGGGGGGGACCCCGCCAACTTCCTTAATTTACTGATTTATTGACAGAAAAATCTAATAACACTTTTACGTGGTAGAGCCATGCTGCAGTTATATTAGTAGTATAGTTGTAGCACGAATGGGTCGGCTCGACCGGGGAAGGACCACGCTCTCACAGAATACCAGCGTCAAATAGTAGCTTAATGCTGCTGTGTTTCGTATGGTGAGTGTAGAGAGCCGGAGACCCTTTTTACTGGAAACGAGGCATTCCACCTAAGTCCTCACGGATGACAACGCATCTGCATTTTGATTCGTAATGGAGGATAGTTGTAGATGTCTATGGGCCACAGCAACCACTTACCATCAGGTGGACTGTGTGCTCGTTTGTCATCCTATCCTATAAAAAAAAACAGATTTTGACTCGAGCCGGGATTCGAACCCGTAAAGAACAGCAACTGCATTTACGACCACAAGTCCACCGAGTCATTCAGACAGTGAAATGTCTGAATGAAACAATAAAGCAGTATAAAATAGAACAAATTATTACACACCTCTTTATCTTCTATGAGGGTCGCGACTCGCCCAGGCTGTAACAAGCAATGAGGTACAGTAAGCATTGAGATACGTAACGCCATTTTAAGCGACCTCAAAAGGCAGGAGCAGGTATAACTTTGTTTACGATTATCTTTTATTAAATAGGTTATAATTCAGTGGTAATCAGGTGTCTCGTATGGTATGTGCAGAGAACCGGAGACCCTTTTTACTGAGAACGAGGTATTCCATCTTAGTCCTTGGGATTGATATCTCCATTTTCAAGATAAGTGTTGACTATTAATCGAAGACAGATGTAGATATCTATGGGCCACAGCATCTACTTACCATCAAGTGAACTGTGTGCTCGTGAGCCCCCTTAACATAAAAGATTGGGCCACCATAATACATTCTTAATCATTCACCACTCTTTGTTCTCTTCAATAGAAGTCTAGCGTAAAATTTACAATATACCTAACAAAATTTAAAAAAAAAATTATTGCCATTTGGTATATTGTTTTTTTTTTGTTATTGCATGCATTAACAAGCATATTGGGACAGTGCGGTGGACAATTCCTTGCCCTACTATAACCCTCTCAGAAATGAGCGGAGGCCTGTGACCAGGAGTGGGACGTATATAAGCTATAACTTTAACTTTAATTAAGAATAAAACAACGAAATACTTTTTTATCACAATAATAGTCAAAACATAAGCATGTGCCGGCAATTTGCTCAGTAATGCAATAACATGTCAGATGTGGCGGGAAGCGAGAGGCAGGGTCCGGCGCTAATCCCGTGTGCTTTACGGTAACAAGTTTCGACATAAATTGGTTAAGTCCCGAGGTTATCCTGCCGAATAATGTTCGGCCGAATATTCGGTTCGGTAAAAATTTAACCGAATATTCGGCCGAATATTCGTATTCGGTGAAATCCATATTCGGCCCATCCCTAGTAAGAATATCATTCCGTGACTGTGGTAGGAGATGACAGAGAGAAAAAAACCAGTAGATGGGCAGCGCCTTTCTTATAACAACCACAAAACAAAAACTGTATGCTAAAAATAAGTTACTAAACTACATAATCATTTATCATTTTTTCCGCAAGTTAAACATGAAAAATCGTTTTGCACACCTGCTGTTTTTTTTATTAATTAGGATTTCCAACGATTGATACATTATTTCATCTTTAAACTATGTTTTACGTTAGTCTTAATTCTAAATGTGTGTATAATCACCTAAAGGTAAACACAGCATGCTATAAATTTACAATTTAGTACTATTTAATTAACCTAAATCACACACATACGCACATACGCACACAATATCAAATTTAAAGAATTTGATATTGTGTGCGTATGTATGTGTGCGAGTGTGTACGATGTGCGTGCGTGTGCGTACCTGTGTTTTCGTGTGTGTATTTGTATTGTTTACGCATGTAACAAACTCAAGTGACAAAAATAAACGGCGCGTGACTACGCGTCAGGTCAGCTGTTTGACAGTTTTAACACATTCTTCGCACTTTCGGTTGCAAATACTTATTTCACAAATCCTATAGAAATTTTTGTGGAGAGTGTTTTACTTTCTCATGACGTAAACCAAGCCCATAAATATCCAACTTGCGTATTGATGATCTTATTAAGGTTGAATCCATATATTACGGAGACTTAAAGTCGCTCTTACTACATCATGGACAATTTCTTTTTTTATAAAAGATGTTTTCCGCAGTTCAATTAGGTCAATAAATTATAGATTTTACTTTTTTTATTTTTGACTAAAGTATCTGGTGGATTTGTTAGTATAAATGAATAGCTTCAGTGAGATAGGCTACAAATGTCCCCTACATTTCACTGAAGCTATTCGCCGATATTGTATATTTATATTTTACTAAACTTACAAGTCAATTCACATTTACGCAGTTGAAGTACATCGAAGCGTCTAATCGTCTAATGATAATGTTACATAGCGTATAGCGATAGGGGTCAACAGCCTCCACAGTGTAATTAATGTACAAATTCTATCGAGATGTGTGCAGTCTCGCCGACCGAACAACTAAAATGGACCAGTGCGCTGGCCCTAAAATTACAGTTTAGGGCCAACGCGAATCGGTCGACAGTGGTGCGCGTGCAGTACAGATTTGCCTCATAAAAAGGTGCGTGGTAAAAGCATGCAAAAATTATGATACAAAGATTAAAAAGAAACATGGGATATCGTATCATCGGTTATTAACCTTATATTAATTTTGTTGCAATTAAAATATTATATAAACGCATTTTTAAAGTTTCATTTTATAGTTAGTTTAGTTACGTTACCAAGATTAGGCCAGGGTTGGATTTAGAGCTACAAAAATATTGTACAAAGAAAATAAAATTATACACTATTTTTAAAAATTATATCACGTTTGACGTTTCATGTTTCTTTTTTCCCATGTGCCGGGATTGTTTGCGTCATGCGTCTAGTTTATCTATACGTTTGGTTTTTTTACGGTTTTATTTTTATTCCTGTTTTATTTTTATCTAAAAAACTAAGTGTTTTGAATATTGGTACGGGTACAGTACGGGTAAAACGAAAAGAGAAAAGAGCTCCTTCCTTATTATACCTAGGTGGATTGAAAAGTACTCGGCCTAACACAGATCCATTCAATTCTAAAAATCAAATCTACCCACATTATTTAGTTCACTTCAGACTAGTTCATTGTGTGAAGTTCGAAACGTGTGCGATAATTAGTTGTGATTTTATAAATTTATTAACAAAGTAATCGGACATAATTTCCGCGAATGGAGCAAATCGAGCAGCGTGCCGTCATTAAGTACCTCCATAAGAAGGGGCTATCATCAAAAGCCATCCATGATGACATGGTCAGTACATTAGGCGATTGTGCTCTGTCATATTCATCCGTCAAAAAATGGATAGCAGAATTTAAGCGTGGTAGAGAGAGTGTGAAAGATGAACCCCGCTCTGGAAGGCCTTCGACGTCAACTACTGACGAAAATATTAAAAAAAGTACTTGATTTAATAATGGGAGACCGCAGATTAAAAATTAGAGAGATAGCCGAGATTATAGGCATCTCTTATGAACGAACTCAAAACATCATTGTCAACAAGTTGGGTTTCCACAAGGTGTCTGCGAGGTGGGTTCCGCGACTGCTTTCAGTTGAACAAAAAAGGACGCGATTGACTATTTCACGCGACTGTTTGGAATTATTTGAAGCCGATGCAGATGATTTTTTGAATCGTTTTGTTACTATGGACGAAACATGGGTTCATTACTGTACACCGGAAACAAAACAACAATCAAAACAGTGGAGAAGACCCGGTTCACCACCCCTAAAAAGGCTAAGTCGATTTTGTCGGCAAATAAGGTGATGGCTTCAGTGTTCTTGGACTCGAAAAGTGTGATTATGATTGATTATCTTGAAAGGGGTCAGACTATAAACTCTGATTACTACTGCACCTTACTACGTCGTTTACGAGAGGAAATAAAAGAAAAACGTCGAGGAATGCTCAGAAGAAAAGTCCTGTTTCATCAAGATAACGCCCGTGTTCACACGTCAGTACAGTCAATGGCTGAAATTCACAACTGTGGCTTTGAACTGTTACCGCATCCGCCGTATTCACCTGATCTGGCACCATCAGACTTCTTTCTGTTCCCTAACCTAAAAAGCACTTGGGAGGTCAAAGATTTTCGACAAACGACGAAGTCAAAGCAGCTGTAGACGCATATTTTGACTCTAAGGAAGAATCATTTTTTTTCAACGGTCTAAATGCTTGGAAGGGGAGGTGGCAAAAGTGTATTGAACTTGATGGTGATTATGTAGAAAAAATAAAAATATAACTGCTTTAGTATGTGTTTATTTTCTTGGTTAGGCCGAGTACTTTTCAATCCACCCTCGTAGTTATATCAAGGATTCAACATAAATGAATCGATCGAGCACCGATTGATCACAAAGGGAGCTGATTTTAATTTTATTAAAAAAAACACGGTACTCATATAAAATACAAAAAATCTCGATATCGTATGGTTAATATTAAAAAGTAAAATGACCCAATAATAATACAAGTTAACTTTTAGGTAAAATTATAGTATTTTCGCTTAGTATTATTACGATACTATATACTACAAACTGTGAAATAATGGTACAATTAGGATAATTACACTACGAAATCCGACCCTGATTACGTCGTGTTATGATATAACGTTTGTATTATGACAGACTCGTTAATTTTTCTTGTATGAAAAAGTTATGAGTAAAATATTTAGATGGGCCTATCCTTTCTATTGAAATCATTGAGTCTTGGAAACTCAAGTGCGATTCAATGTGTCAAAGTAACACAATCAACCGGCAACTGCAAGTCCATCACTAATACCACAATTTGTTCCTAAATAAATACGCATTGAAAGCCACTAACGGGTGCCATAGAGCCGCATAGGCTAGCAGCACCAACATCATCGAAACCAGACTAACGAATGCCAAAAACCTGCTGAGCTAATACGCGCGCTTCCTACTTTTTCCCTTTCATTGTGAACAATTTGAATTAATACGAAATATTTGTTAACTTTAACAAACTTCAAAAAAGGAGGTTCACAGTTAATTTGTTTTTTCAACCGACCTTAAGAAAAGGAGGAGGTTCTCAATTCAAACTTTTTCTAGGTGAAAATCAATGATTTTCAAAAAAGGGTGTAATGTTTTCACCACGGTTTTTGAAAATCGAGTTCTCATCAGATCTCGACGTTTCTACTTTCGAGGTCCTAGGAAGCTAATCTGGCTATTTTTGGGATGTCCGTATGTCTCTGTGTGTGTCTCTCTCTCCCCCCTCTCCCCCTCTCTCTCTCTGTGTGGCGGCGTGCGTGCGTGCGTGCGTGCGTGCGTGCGTGCGGGCGTGCGCGCGTGCGTGCGTGCGTGCGTGCGTGCGTGCGTGCGTGCGTGCGTGCGTGCGTGCGTGCGTGCGTGCGTGCGTGCGTGCGTGCGTGCGTGCGTGCGTGCGTGCGTGCGTGTGTGTGTGTGTGTGTGTGTGTGTGTGTGTAAACATGTACACACCTCATAACAGTGTCCGATCGAAAAGTGATTTTTGGCATCTGAAAATCTGAAAGCGCCTAGCTGCTTAGATTGCTTTCTAGACCGAATCGTCACAGTTGGTACTGATAAAATCTTCAAAATTCGAATATTTTTAATTTTCAAAAAGTAGTCTTCTTGGAATTACTTTGACAGCCTTGTTTTGATTAATTCTATAATCTAATCAGCTCTTCTACTCAAAAACGACGTCGATTACCGTGAACCGCATTAAAATCGGCTGATGCGTTCGAGAGATGTCGTGACGAAAGAAATCTCAAAGTGGTTTTTCAAAACAACTTGAAAATTTCCGTAAAATGCATTTTTTTGTAATTGGTTTTTTGTTAAACTGAAAAAATTACATCGATTGCCGTAAATCACATCAAAATCGATTGATTTGCTTGAGAAACACTCAATTTTCAAAAAAATAAAAACCGTCATAGTTAGTAGAATTTGGAGCGCTTTGATATTAAAATTTGCAGTAAGTTTCAGGGATGGCCTGCAGTTTCAAACAATTTTTTTATTTGAAAATTGAAGCACCAGTGGTCCCATATAAATTTTATTACTTCAAATTTTTTATTTGTACCACTTGTGTATATGTATGTTACGCAATATCTTTATCAGTTATGAATCGATTTTAATACTTTTTTTAAATTTAATAGGTTATAGGGTGGGTGTACCAGTAGCAAACCAATTAAGTGGCATTTTGAAACAAATTTTTATGATGTGACTCAATTATTGTAACAATCATTGCAAAAAAATATATTGTACTCCTAATCCACCATATAATCATGTGGCTTATTCCGATTGTCTTAATAGCTATTAAGTTTATTTTTATTTAAAAATGAATGTGGCAAGTCGCAATTCGCCTAAGGTGGACCAGATTGCACCAATAATAGACCGACATGGGCCAATAGTGAACCGTGAAAAAGAATTCTTTTAAGAAGAATAATTATATTATTAATACTAATAAACTTAATTAAGTTTCGTAATCATCATAACTTTAAATCAGTCTATAAGTTTCAAGTAATCCTTAAATGCTACAGGGGCTATACCATTGTTTTTCAGTTTCATTTTATTTATGACTGTTTAGCAAGGAACATTATACTTTCAGCACTCTTTTCTAATGCTCGACACACACATTCAGTTAAACTGATCAACAGAACTATCGTACATCCAAAAACTGACCGCGAATATGAAATATCAAGTTGAAATTTGAAGACAGTGAGTGGGGAAATCATTTTGGTTTACATCCGTTTCAACTGATCAGTTTAACTGACCATGTGTCGGTCATAACTCATAACATTCGCACGTTTATTTATTTTGTCTATCGCTTTTATGACATCTTCTTCTTTATATTTGAAAAAAGTTGTTTTTGGCGGCATAGTGTCTGTAGAAAAAGTGTAGGTGGTCAATTACTGGAACAAACTCTTAGTTATACCTAACCTATTGAAGTTATTGCCATGGTGTGTTGTGACCAATCTAAAATAGTTTTTAAATAAAATATAAAGATATCAGCACCATCAGTAAATCTCAAATAGATGAAGTCCTCAATCCGCCTAAAAGGATTATAACAGGTGATAGAATTAAGTATAAATTTGATGTGTCTTAACAAGTTGATGGATAACACTCGATATAAAAATATTTTACTGGTATCTCACTATATGAAAGTTTTTTTTATGATGGTTTGGTGCTTCATTTGATTAAACACATTTTTTTATAGGATAGTGTGACAAACGAACACACAGTCCACCTGATGGTAAGTGGTTGTTGTAGCCCATAGACATCTACATCTATCCTTAATTGAGAATCAAAATACAGATGCATTGTGACCCATGAGGACTAAGATGGAATGCCTCGTTTCCAGTAAAAAGGGCATACTTTAATATAAGAATATGCATGTCTAGTATGTTTATTATTAGTGCTTATTGATGTCTACTAATAGTGGTAAGAATGTCACCTTTTAGTTCCTATTCTAAAGTTGATATAAATACAAATTGTAATATAAATAATGTTGATTCTTTAAGTTTTTAAGATTAAAAGTTGTTTTCATAATGTTACTGTACTCAGAAAAAAACTGTAACCGTTCTAATTATATAAATATATTTGATTGTAAAGCATAAAATTTGTGTAAAGTTTCAAGCATTAGTGCCTTTACCTTAATTAAGTTAATACTAATAAATGGTATATGTAGCATTTTAACTGACTGCAAAAACGAGGAGTTTCTCAATTCGAATGTATGTTTTTTCTTTGTATGTATGTTATGCGATATCTTCGCAGATGGTAAACCAATTTTGATGTTTCTTTTTTATTTAATAGGTATAATATATACATCAAGTGATCTCATATAAATTTGTAGGAAAAATGAAGATACCAAATAAATAACTTCTTTTTTAGCAATTTGAAGTCTTTGTCTTTGTGTGAAGACTTTTTGTCAAAAGTTATAATCATTCGGAGTATGTAATGACTTAATCATTATAGTTCTATGTGTTACTAACCAAAAATAATTTCAGAAAATAGTAACAGGTATGCACTTAAAAGCATTTGAAATAAATTATATTTCATTTGTCATATGAATTTTATCTTGAAATATATTTGAACAAATAAGACAATATCAACAAATTGAAATCAATATTATGAGTAGTAAAAACAAATCAAAAATAATGTTTGTTCAAAATAAAAATATTATTTAAAATGAGAATTTTATTCCTCATGACTTGATTATCAAAATAATCTTTTGCAATAAATAAAAATATATTAACTACTATTCATATTAATGATTGACCTGGAAATATCTGAAATTTAGTTTTACCTATAATATAAGGATTTTATTCATGATTTTGTTATGATAGAATTGTTAATTTCAATAAAAATGCAACAACCAATGATAAAATCTCATAAGCAAAAATTACCTTAGATTCAGTTCCACGGTGAGTTGTATTACCTTGCCAAAATCTTCTAGAAAATCCTTTTACATATCCAGTAACAGACTGCTCGTAATCAAATCCTGGATTCCAACACAAAGATCCGTATCCGAACACCCAAAAGGGCTCTTTTCTTGGCACTTCCTCTATATTATCATTGTCTCGTAATGGTATTTTTGATAGATTTTTTGTTTGATCAATCCTTTCTTTATTATCATCCATCATGAATAATACTTTTCTTTAAAATCTTGTAACTTTCTTTGGAATATAAATACAACTTTCCAACTCAATTAATTTTGAAATAAAATGAGGTGAAATTAATATTTTACGAGATTACTTTTAGTATCACAGTTTTTTATTCGCTTTATTTTTCTTATGTTTCATTGTGGGTAGTAGAAATACACGAACGTATTCAAATGAACTAACACTATAAATAACATTTATATTTCCTCAACGAATAACCAACCGCTGCGGCGAAGGATCAATTTGACTACTTGCTACTTGCTTGCAGGGTTGCCGTTCTACAAATTTTAAAGTCCCGAGACTGACAGATAAAATCCGCTAGAAACAGGATTTTTCTTTTTCTTAAAATCCGCTAGATGTCCCTAGGTACATTTTCATGGTACCATTGGGCTAACTGAAAAATCTTGCCAAATGTTATACAAAGAATACCGGAAATCTAAATTTATAAAATCAGAAAAACCTTAAAAAGGCGGACTCTATTTCATATAAATCAGTTATTTATAGTGTAGGTTAATGACATAACAACCAAAAGAAAAATTATTCATGTACAGAATAAAAAAATATTGTAAAAAATAAATCTTTAATGTTTAAACCACGTTTAAACATTAGTCATCATATTAAAAATAAATCAATTAGTTCAGTACGTTCTTTTACCTAAATTTCAAAATTAGTAGCGAAGGATGGATCCAGATCTTCAAAAAGAACTTCAGCGGAAGTTGAAGCTTCGCCAATGTCTCCAGTTCCCATCTTTGGCTTGCCTTTACAGACTTGGTTGACAACATCTTCAGGAATAACATTGTGCATTTCTTTTTTCAATCCTTAACTGATTTCTAATCAGAATAATGGAATTTAAAGTTTTTTCTTATAGCTTTAACTTTAACTACATTCATAGCACCAAATACGCGTACAAATTCTGCATTTGAGTGCAGTAGTGATAATATTACTATTGCAAAATTACTTAATATTTAAATCATCAAATATGTTTACTCCTGCTGCATTTTTTTATGTCGAAACGTAAGACCATCATGGTCTATGGTCGAAACAGATGAAAGTGAATGAACGACATTAAATTGTTAGTTTATGTTCGGGAATTCTCGTAAAATTATATTATATATACAGTGTTATCAACGGTAGATTACAAAATTGGACATATGATAAATGACTTATTTGAAATGAATTACTTTATAAAAAAGTCGCCATCTCAAAGGTCTCAAAGGTCGCTAGAAGTCGCTAAATAATTATTTCTCGCTAAAACGATTTTTTTATCCGCTAAACATTGTTAAAATCCGCTAGATCTAGCGAGAAAGTCGCTAAAACGGCAACACTGCGTTGCCTTAAGTTACTTGACATTGACAACTTGACAATTGACATATTTTAGTTTATATTTTCAAAGCTAACAGATAGGGATGCCGAACAAAAGGCGATTGATCACAGAATTGATTTTTGGGTCAAGATAAATATTTAATCGATCTTAAGCAATGAAACCATCCCTCGAATCTTTATAATTTTTGTCTTTATATTCTTTGTTTTTTTTTCTTCTCTATCAGTAAGAAATCAAGCAAAATGTATTTAAATAAGTATATGAAATTATTATAAAAAATATTGTCAGTGTAAAAGCGGATGTTTAACATAATATCTTGAATACGCAAATAATCCTTATCAATACACATAATATGTACTATTATCTACCCTCTTCTCACATAATACTTCACAGTAACCAACGGCAACAATGAAATTGTTAATTGCAATTTTAGTTCCGTTTTACCACGTGCTCGGCGAGAAAGAAAAATACTGTGAGGAAACCTACATCTAAGTAAAATATTTCTAGGTCATATTAAGTACACTATCACGCACTGGAGTAGTGTGGTCCAATGCAATCTAACTTGGAAAGGGGAAGCTTGTGCACTGTAGCAGTAATGATATATATATATAGTTTTCACTTTACTTTTTTTACCCAAATAAAACATAATGAATATAGAGACTTTTGTTCTCCAAAAGGTTTGTCATAAAATATTGTCAACTATTTTTTATTAAATATAATTACATGATTATATTTGAAAATATTTATTATTCTGTAACTTCAATTACAAGACAAGCCTGTTTTTCATGTTTTCGATTTAGTGCTTCTTTGTATAAATACTTAAAATAATAAGGAAAGCAAGACTTCTTTTTTTGAATCGGTTCTTTATAGTGTTTGGTCCGAATCGATATAAAAATCGATCATTTTAAAAAGAGACGACATCCTTACGTAGACTTCGATGTTTTGAGTAAGATAAACATCGAACATCGATAATGATTTCTTATATTTACGCGAACACTACACATTGAAATAATACTAATTTTTACGGAATTTATCGCGTATATTTAACTTTTTTACCCGACGTTTACGTGTATAGAAAAAAGACCCATACAGATAGATATTTAAACGGTGATTCTCACCACCATCCTTCACAGTTAGCTACCGTGGGTAAATCTTTGTTTCAGAGAGCACGAGGGATCTGTGACAGTAAACACCTGGCTGCCGAGCTCCAACATGTCAAGCAAGTTTTGCATGACAACAAGCTTCGGGTCCCGCGCCTACGTCACAGAGAACGAGTGAAGCCGGCCACAGTCGAGCGTGTACCTGCTGTACTGCCGTATGTTAGAGGAGTCACTGACAAGATTGGCTACATCTTGAAGCGCGCTTCCATCAAAACATACTTCAAGCCGCCGAAGAAGATTGGTCAGTTTTTACCATCAGTCAAGTGTAACGTCCCTCTGCAAGATGCAGGAGTGTACAAGCTTGATTGTGAATGTGGTCTCTCCTACATAGGACAAACTAAAAGATCAATTAAAACCCGCGTCAAAGAACATATAGCTGATGTGAAGAATCGACGCTCCGGGAAGTCTGCAGTCTGTGAACATGTACAGGATCGCCCCCGTCACTACATCAGATTTGATAGACCACAAATCCTCGCTAAAGAACACCGATTCCTTCCAAGGATGATTCGCGAGGCTATTGAAATCAAAAAACATCCTAATTTCAATAGAGAAGATGGCTGGGTGCTACCATCTGCTTGGGATCCTATAATAAATAAAATTAAATCCCAACCCAAGCATACAACTGCAAGACTCCATGATACCATAAGTTCATACTGTGTAGATCGGAACAAAAGTTAAATTTTAATCTATGGTAACCGCGGTTAACTATGACAGCTGGACGTTGAACATCTCAGTCCTTCCCGTGACCATGGGTGCTGTAAAGCTCTCGAAACGTCGGGTAAAAAAGTTAAATATACGCGATAAATTCCGTAAAAATTAGTATTATTTCAATCGAACATCGATGTTGAGCTATCGATGTCATCATCGATGTTTCTGCAATATCGAACATCCCTATTGTGAAATTCGACAGACTCTACTAGTTAGTCTGTACCAAAGAGTGTAGTAATCGTAGACAGAGAAACCTATAGACAAATTGACGCCTTCTTTCGCATTCGCATTTCGCGTAAATTAAAAAAAATGGGAAGAAGTTAACAGATATGTAGTTCATTTGTCATATTTTTTGTTAGTGATGAAGATGAATGTTATTATTTTGATCTATAAATGTCCTACACACTCATAAACCCGGTATGAAAAAATAAGCTATGAGACCTAATTTACGATTTTGACATAGGTTTTATATTAACTACTCCTATCGCGAAATAAAAAATATGATTATAAAGAAAAGATTAACAAACTACACAAAAACAAAATAAAAGACTTTTTCGTCAACTTTGTTCACAATTTTTATCAGGCAGCCCAAGCAGTAAATATCCACAGCCGTTTATAAAATGCACAGTCGAATGCACTATGCAGTGAAATTGTCTATGCTCCCGATCGGTCTGTGGTTTATTTTCATTACCTTCAAGCAAACAATAAACTCGTTATGACACGCTCAAAAAAGCAGCTACTTTTAATTGAATTGTGTAGATACATCCATTTGTTTCAAAATTATGTGGGTATAGACAGCAAGTTAAATGACAATTGATTTGAATATCAATTTACGTAGAATAGTTATTAGGCGACAACTGACATCGACATTACAGAACAACAAAGCGAAAGCAGTGTCAACTGTGATATCACAGTTCACACTTGAAAGTTAAGTTTGATATACCTTAATAGTATTTTAGGTGATCGATGCGTTTAGGAATTCTAAATCATTAAAAATTTTAAACTTTTAATAGTAGATGATTTAGTTGATATTGGTTCATTGACATCGATGTTTGACATGTGGCAACATCAATGTTTTAATTTTTAACATCGATGATCATCGAACATCCCTATTTCACAAGTTCCTATTGCTAGCCTGCTACTAGTACTAGTACTCTTATTAGTTTGTGCTAGTACCATACATAGATAAGAGTGTATATACAGAAATAGATAAGAATCTCGAACGTAAAAATCTGCCGCGACAATAGCGCCGTCTGGAAGCTAGTTTATTAACTACTATCTCTAGTATATACACAGTAATCTATGGCTTTATACAAATGTTGGTGTCCAGTCTTCTTTAGTACACACGTGCGTCCATTTACGCTTAAAAAATTCTACAAATTTCACTAAAGGCCATTCCTGTTTCCTATAGCTTTAATGTAATTGACATTGATTTCCTTTTTTTTTAAACTGAAGCTTTTAGAAATATCAATATGCAGTACTCACAGAGTACTTTTGTATACCTGAAAGTAGGGATGTTCGATGATCATCGATATTCATCATTATTTAATTACCTAAATATTTGTGTTCCCATTTTCTAAATAACTGTTTCACACTAAATGTTTTTTTTTAATTTCATTAATCATAAATCATAAACAACACTACTAATTTTTGTTCATCTAATTTTAACCTACTAAATAGGTACATGTGCTATAACATCGATAGTGACCAATATCGATGTTTTGAGTAGGATAAACGTCGAACATCGATGTTGAGCTATCGATATCCACATCGATATCATCATCGATATTTCTGTAACATCGATCATCCCTACCTCAAAGCCTGGCAGTAGCTGGCAATCATAGATTACTGTGTATATACCAGAGACTGACAGTATTTGGGCCATGGAGGTTAAAGAACAGGAGAACGATCGCTACGTACTAAAGCATAGCCCGCCTGTCCTTGAAAATTGTAGAATTTATAGCGGCGCTGACGTCGGTGAGTAGTGACTGCGAAGTTAGCTGTTTATGAGTACAAGTAGATGAAGTTAGTTGAATAATGTACAAATTTTCTTCGCGGCATTAGTGAGAAAATTTTCATGCAGCATCGTACATTTTTGACAAAAGGAAACATTAAAAAATTGTGAAATATTTTATTATGCGTGGATGTGTAAGTAGTTTAGCATCTGATTGGAAAAATAGACTGCAAATAACTTTTATTGAGCGAATTTAGTGATCTCAGCGCCTCACTTATGGTGTCCATATTTCTGAGACACTATTTTCTACGGCGATCGTTCTCCTGTTCTCTAATCTCCATGACTTGGGCAGTACTAGCTTTTCTTATAAACCGGCTTTACGGCTCTGGGATCTAGCCCTTCTGAGACTGTCAGTACTGGCTACTAGCTCATGAAGGTTAGAGAACAGGTGAACGATCACTACGTACTAAAGCATAGCCCGCCTGTCCTTGAAAGTCGTAGAATTTATAGCGGCGCTGACGTCGGTGATTAGTGACTGCGAAGTTAGCTGTTTATGAGTACAAGTAGATGAAGTTAGTTGAATAATGTACAAATTTTCTCCGCGGCATTGGTGAGAAAATTTTCATGCTCCGTAATTTTGTAATTTTTGACAAAAAGAAACATTAAAAAATGGAGAAATATCTTATTGTGCGTGGATGTGCAAGTGGCTTAGCATCTGATCGGAGAAATAATGAAAATGACTTTTATTAACCGAAATTAGCGACCGCAGTGCCTCACTTATGGTGTCCATATTTCTGGGACACTATTTTATAAGACGATCATTCTCCTGTTCTCTAACCTTCATGTACTAGCTACTAGCCATGGAGTATAGAGATAAGGGGGTCAATCTACTATATGAGAATAGTTGAAAATGTGTCCATCAGTAAGCAGTAAATAACAGTTCATAAACTCTCCACAACAGCGCACGTGTAGCTACAGGATTTTATAAATCGCCGTAAAATACGTTGAAAGTGGTTTTGAAAATAAACATTTTGAAACCAATAAAATAATTGTGAAAAGAATTATGGTGAAAGTCTGTGCAATAAAAAAAATATTAAAAAAAATCTTTAAAATTTAGACTGTAGCTACAGTGAGGCCACCCTAATTTAGAGGTTTCCTAAGGATACACTCCATACTACTAGCCATAGATAAATAGATATGTATATGATAGTACTACCACTATGGAGTGTAGAAGGAAGGAGTACCAGCTCTCATAGTAGAATAGTTGAAAAAGTGGCCATCTGTAAGCAGTAAATAACAGTTCAAAAACTCAAAAAATTTCCACAACAGCGCTGGAGTTACTACTGGGATAAAATGAACTTAGCAGTTGTCGACGGTTTCAAGGGTGCTACTAAACTGCTCAGTAGCTCTAAAATCTAAAATAATTATATTTAGTGAATATAACCTCGAAAAAGTCGTCTGTCCCACTAATATATTTTTTTTTATAGGATAGGGTGACAAACGAGCACACAGTCCACCTGATGGTAAGTGGTTGCTGCGGCCCATAGACGTCTACATCTATCTTCCATTACAAATCAAAATGCAGATGCGTTGTCACCCGTGAGGACTGAGATGGAATGCCTCATTTTCAGTAAAAAGGGTCTCCGGTTCTCTACACTCACCATACGAAATACAGCAGCATTAAGCTACTATTTCACGCTGGTATTCTGTGAGAGCGTGGTCCTTCCCCGGTCGAGCCGACCCATTCGTGCTACAACTATACTACTAATATAATTGCAGCATGGCTCTACCACGTAAAAAAATTTCGGCACGTTCTTTAAAATTTAACCCGTAGCTATAGTGGCGCCACCTCCTTACTTCTGCACTCCATAACTAGCACGATGCAATGCGATTTACGACTTAAGGCAGGCAGAGGCCTTTCACTATACAGCCGAGTTTTATTTGTTTATTCACAAAACTGTTTAAAATATGCTTTTTCAATTTCAATAGCCTCACGTATCATCCTTGGTAGGAATCGATGTTCTTTCGCGAGGATTTGTGGTCTATCAAATCTGATGTAATGGTTGGGGCCATCTAGAATATGATCGCAAACGGGAAGTTTGCAGTTTGCGATCATATTCTAGATGGCCCCAACCATTACATCAGATTTGATAGACCACAAATCCTCGCGAAAGAACATCGATTCCTACCGGATGATACGTGAGGCTATTGAAATTAAAAAACATCCTAATTTCAATAGAGAAGGAGGCTGGGTACTACCACCTGCTTGGGATCCTATAATTAATAAAATTAAAACTAAACCCAAGCATACCACTGCAAGACTTCAAAGACAATAATTAAAAAGCTGAAGGTACTCCGGGTTAACTTTGACATCGGGACGTCAGTCACCTCAGTCCCCCGTGACCATGGGTGCTGGAAAGCACCCAAAACGTCGGGTATTAAAATTAATATAAATAAAACGCGATAAAATCCGTAAAAGTAGTTTTAATCAATTAGTAAGTACGTTTTGCTTTGCGTTTTATTCTATCATCCAAGTCGACGAAACGATTACTCTTCAATATTCCTTAATCGATTTGTTTCATTTAACGGCAATTTAATTGAAATAAAATTTGAATTACCAATACTTCCAATAAGTACTAACCTTAATGATCTTATTGATCGACTCTTATATTATATTAAGAGGTATCTCATAAAATTTTATATATTGTTTTTGTAATGGCTATTCTTCTCGCTAAAACCAGTGACGGAACTGGGATGGAATTATGAATCGTCCGCCGCTCCAAAGAAATTAATGAAAGCTATTATAGAGGGCCAACTTGGAAAAATTACGACTCAAGTTAACTCGAGTTGAAATTCACGCAGTTCGAGTTAGAATTCGAGTTACACTACTTGAGATAGCAGGACGAAACGGAGTTAATAATTTGTATATTTACATTACACTATAACTTACTTTTTTGTAAATTTGTTTTTCTATCTAGCTCTTTGGTGGGTTTGGGATTGGGATAACTATAATTATTACAATTTTTAGTACTAAACTGTTGGTAAAATTTGAAATAGAAAGGTATATTTAGTTTGTGTCATAAACTAAACATACATGTTGCAAATACATGTTTAGTTTGTATCACATATTTAATACATTTTTGGTTTTAATCTTAGTTATAGTAATCACCTAACTTCTTAAATGTCAAAAAAATATTTTTAGTGAGGAAACACAACAAACAGAAAAGGATAAATAAAAATTTTAATCAGTACTTGTTGAAAAATAAAAAGACGAACAATTATTAAATGGCATTTGAAAAAAAAAATTGGTTAACTTTTTAGTTACTACACGGTTTCTTCTATCATTGCACAAAATTCCAACTTTCGAAAATAAGCGATCTGAAGGAACTGATGTTGTTTTTGTGTTGTTGATATGATCGGTCATTTGGTCGATTTATTATGGCGGAAACAAAAAGCGCGTACACAGCGAACTAATCGCGCTCTCTTCTTCTTCACTTCACTTCACTTGCTTTCACTGGCTCGCTTGATTCGTTCATGTACAGCCGGCCCAAACTAGAGTTAGGGAGAACCAACTCGAGGTAAGCGCAACTCGAGTTACTAACTCGAGTTGACCCATCCTTACATTGAAAGTAATTGAAAGTATTGCGCGTATTGCTTCATCATTGTACGATGTACGAGGTCACGTTCATTGCTCGAGAAAAGCTGATGCAATTTTCGAAATATTTTACGTGAGAAGGTACACAGACTGCTATATATTTTTATAATTGTATTTAATATTTTGTCCTCATTAAATTTTTTATAGAATAAGGCTTAATTTTTTTTTAAATTAACGAGCATACACTTCTGATGGTAAGTGGATGCTGTGGCCCATAGACATCTACATTTATCCTCGATTAAGAATCGAATCAAAACGCAGATGCGTAGTCATCCGTGAGGACTAAGCCATGCGGAAATGCTGACCTAATTAGTGCATGCCCATAAAGTACGACATTGACAGGTACTGTCTGTACTACTAAGAAATTCAGGACTTCATAGGCGTGATTTTTACTGACAGCTGTCGCAGAGATCAAGCTATCTTGTATCTACTAACCTGATGCAGGGAGTCAATGAATGGAGTGGCTAAGATGTTTTGCTATTTATAGCTGTGAAATTGTTATGGGTTGTGTATGCTGATTGTGGTATATTCTTTTCATGTCTCAGCTGTAAGCATAAATACGTATGTTTATCTGACTTAGCAATAAAAATATTTCTAGGTTATGTATATATAGGCTATGTATATATATATATATATATATATATATATATATATATTATATATATATATATATATATATATATATATATATATATATATATATATATATATATATCTTTTCTGATTTAGAATCCTCTTTAAATCTCGTATTATAACTACAATAGAGCGATTATCCGAACTAATTGGGGAACATGGGTATTCGTAAAACCTGTTAATTCAGATAATCGAACTGTATAATTTTTTGTACCAATATACTAACCTAATACAGTTGTTAGTAGGAATATAAGTAAAGTCAGATAGCTTCGTATACAAAAATATTGTATAATCAATATTGAAGATATAGTATGCCTGTATAATTAACGTTTAAAGAAGTCTTTAATTTTGATCTGTCGAAGCGAACCTACCCTCTTACGCGTAGCTAAGTCACGCATTTTTTTCAGGACAGGTATCTGATACTGGTTGCCTTAATCTTGAGCTTCAAACCATCGCAAACAGTATCTAAGCATGTAAATGCTTCAGAAGCAGTAGGAATATTCCCGACTTCGTTTTCTGAACCTCTGATTGATGAGGTGCTGGTGGCATCAGCTTTGCCACTCACGGCTTTGAGGTCGACAATTTCAAGTATTTGGTGCCCTGGATCTGCATCGTCGACAGTCATCCATACGTGAACATTTTCTTCAACACATTCACGGCAATTGAGTTCTTGTAGCATATTTAGCATTTCAGACATATCATTTTGTTCTTCATTTCTACTTTCGCTTTGAGAACTTTCCGCTATACTCAAAATTTTATTTCAGAATTTTTTTAAAGTTTGTTCTTTTAAACTGTCCCAATCTGCTCCGTTCATGTAGGATGCATCTTTTAAATCAATTTCTAATTAGACATCCTTCTCCCTAATCTTCTCTTTCTAGCAACAATTTACGTAGCAATTTTTTCTGTAGTATCTCTTGAAAGTCTTGTGACGGCGCTGTCGTCGCGCCGCAAGCGAAACACCTAAATCCACCAACCTAAATCACGCTATCAAAATTCCGAATCATAAACAGTATATATAGAACATCTACGAACTATCACACGGAGTGTCGGCCGCTCCCCGGGCAGAACACAATGCCCGGCGGGAGATCTCCCCTTTTCCTTCTACGGCCACCGTGGTGACCACCCAACGTGACCTGAACACGCAACCAACAGCCTTCGGAAACTTCAAGCTTCATCATCGTCATAGAATACCCCACTCATTCGCTCCCGAGCAGATGTCGTCTGCAGTCTTCATATCCTGCAAGCCAGCTAGCTTCACAAGGTTCATCGCAGCACTGGAATAATAATGCTTCCTGTTCCTTCAAGCTACTCTCTGCGCTATACAGTGTTCGGCACGGCTCTGAGCCTTACTGCTCGCCTCTGCTTCACGGCACTCTCGCAGATTACTTGCCTTCTTCTCGACTCACCGCAGACTACAAGGCAAACTTCTGGCACTTGCACATTCGTCGGCAACGAGGCTGCACTATCGACCTCCGGTCTGAGTAGGGGGTGATGTGGCGGCGCTGTCGTCGCGCCGCAAGCGAAAGCCTAAATCACGCTATCAAAATTCCGAATCATAAACAATATATATAGAACATCTCCGAACTATCACACGGAGTGTTGGCCGCTCCCTGGGCAGAACACCTTGCCCGGCGGGAGATCTCCTCTTTTCCTTCTACGGCCACAGTCTCAATAACACCTTGGTTCATGGGCTGTAATAAGGTAACGTAACCTTTAAGTTGAAGAAACATCACTTTTATAAATTCGTCCTTTTCATTTAGGATGTCACATGATAGATGAGTTGGTGCATTATCAAGGAGTAATAAATTTTTCTCTCTTTTGCCACTCTTTAGCTGATGGGCTTTTAGAGTGGGTAATAAAACTTCTATAAACCATTCCGTCAAAATTGAACTGTTCATCCAGGCGCTTTATGTGAGGTATTGGCCCTGTATCAAAATTTTTGGGGGGGGCCCAACCAAAGACCCGAAACCACTCGCATTGAATTGACATAATTATATATTGATTATTATAGGTTAATAATTACTATTAATACTACTGGGAACTAAGCTAGCTAAACAATTCAAATAAAATGTAAGCTTTTCTTGTCTAGTTCGCCGAACTTAATAGGTCGAGGAAAAAGTTTCTTCGTGTTTCATATACACAATTTTTTTCACAGTTTCATTATATTTAAATATAACAAATATACGAGTATGGGCTATTTTGTTCGATAACTTGTTGCAGTCTTGTAGGTAGATGAAATAATCCCGTTGCTGTAGAAATTTTGGGATTTCGATCAAAAAATGCGACAAGTAGTTTTGACAGTCCTCTCTTGATATTACCCTAACACTACCCAAAGAATTCTGAAGTGACCGAAACAGGTGAAAATCTATGATTTTAATAATAAATATATGATTATTACACACATAACGTTTGTTTAAATTTATGACATTTACCAAATCATTGTATTTTGGACATTTGTATTCTTCAATATTAAAAATTCTATCATTCGTCAACATTTTTAAAAATTGTTTTTCTGCTGAACCACCTTTGTATGCGATCACTTCGTCTTTGCACAAATTTCTAATGTACCAATTTAATATGGGAATGATGTTCTCTTGTTTGTAGGCACATTTTAATTCTTCGGTCACGTCAAAATATGGAATGCCGTGCACGTGTGTTTTGTAATAACGAACAGTTTTTTTTGTCTTTTGGCAACAAATAATTGAAAGGACAACTTGGCCGAAACAAATAATGATCGATAAACGCATAATTTTTATTAGACAGTTTTACGTCTAGAATAGCCATTTCTCTACATTGAAAATGTTTATGAGGATATGTAATGTAAAATCCGTCCATGTCGATGATGTATCTAATATTTTTTAGATTTTGTGTCATTTTGAACCAAAAAGTTAAAAGTATTTACACGTGACTAAAAATATGTGGCAACAACGTTATGATTAATTTCCTGCCCAGTTCACATAGTAATCAATGTGTAAGCCTAAATTGACTATGGATTGAGAAAATGGAATTGTAATTCCATTATATAGAACTGGTTCGAGGTTTCCATAATCAATCATACTCAACATTCTGGACCCACAACCATTGCTTTACATTTTAACGGGTTTACTGAAACACCAAATCTATGTGACCAGATACGGATGGCATCTAAGTTTTATTTTATATTTAGTTTATATTTAGTTCCCTGATTGCATTATTTATGTCATCGATGCTGGATTGTGCATATAGTTGAAGGTCATCGGTGTAAAGATGGTACGAGCAACTGAAATCATTAGATATTGAGTTTATAAACAGCAAAAACAATATTGGAGATAATATACCACATTGCAGCTACAACGTCAGCCCAAGCAGAAAACTGCTCCCCAACGATGATGGGAAACGATGATGGGAAGTAAGGAAGCATTGTTATGTGAAGTTTGTTCCAACAAACTTCACATAACAATGCTTCCTTACTTCCCATCATCCCATCTCTTTCTTCTACTCTTGTCTTCCTGTAATTTAAGTAAACAGAATCACATTCACTAATAATCAACTAATGACTGTCATTGTTAAAAAAGTATTCTTTAACTTTTTCACTTTCTGCTACTGTCTTTGTATTCAGGGCTAGGAAATGTCCGCCGCGCTGCCTCAATGCGTGTTGACGAACTTCACATGCCTTCAAAATTTTCTCAGACATGCAGGTTTCCTCAGGATATTTTCCTTCACCGCTGAGCACGTGGTAAATCAGCACTTAAAATCGCAATTAACAATTTAATTGGTGCCGGCGGGGATTGAACCCAGGTCGCGTACTGTGAAATTTACAGCTTGCGCTTAGCATCTGAGCTACCACGGCTTAATCATATACACACATAATATTTAAATATAATTTGTTAACACTAAATCATACACACGTAAGAAAATAACAGAAAGAAAAGTAAGTTTGTCAAAAGAATAAACAATTACATCCATGACCTTTGATGCGTTGAAGTAACACAAATGTAGTATTGATAGATCCACTGCGGTCAAACGACCATACACTAACTCCATGACTGCAGCTGCTCGGTCTTATATAGTACCAGTAAGTAATAATTCTAATCTAAAGAATTTCTGCAGTGGAACTGATAGTACGAGTAACTTTATGCATCAACAAGCTTATCTCACATTCTGTTGCTTATCTCAACATTCCTTCGTGTTGCATCTTGTTCAGTGTATTGATGACTCAAATACGATTTGTATAACACAAAAAAATGCAATTTAATATTTAGAAATCACTATAATTGATCATTCCTATGTTAGTCATTGAGTAGATTGGTACTATAATAATCTACTAATTCACCCCAGTCTAGAAAATAATGTTTATGCCGCTAATAGACTGCCCATGTATACCCACGTACCAACGTATATAATATGCAATTTGGATACATATGATAAACCTGGGTCACATTGGGTTGCTTTATATATCGATACGAATGACGTCGGTCAATATTTTGATTCATATGGACGGTCACCTGTACGATATCATCTAGAGTTTTTAAAAAGGAATTGTAATAGATGGAACTGGAATGTTGATAGGATTCAGAATGAGTGGACTTCAGTTTGTGGCGAATATTGCTTAATGTATTTGCTGTATACGTTTCAGGCATGTTCAATGCATAGCTTTACGAGTATATTTACAGGGAACACATTGTACAATGATATTTTAGTGGATGAGATGTTTCGCTCCTATTTTACAATAAAAAATAAGATGTTGTATTTTGTAAATAAAAATTGTAACAAAATTAGGTAATGTATTTTATTAATGATTCAGATTAGCGTTGTAGATAGGAACAAAGTAGTATAATACAATAGCACTTATAAGCCGACGCATACGCCGAGGAAAAATAGACAATGACGGTATTCAATAGACACGATAACAATAGATAAGAACAATGGGGCGCCAATGACGGTGGAGGCCTCACCTTAGATAAGAGTTAATTGATCTGCACATCTCCGGAACCGTGCATCCTACGAAAAAACGGACTCGTGATCAGAGCATGCCAAAACTTTTTGTTTAGGATCGTGAGTCGACGAACAGTCCCTGACTCAGTGAGCCAGAAGTGGTACTACCTATCTTTTCCTTTTTAAGAGTAATTTTATATTTTTAGATGAATCGTTACTCGTTACTCAGAATTGACAAGCACTTTATACTACTGCTAAATATATATATATATATATATATTTTGGGTTATTCCGTTTGTCAACCCTAAAAAATCCACACTATAGTGGATTCTCGCAAACGCGTGTTCATCTATCCATCCCAGACGGGGGTTCGGAGTTCGGAGGTCGTAGTTTACTTTTATTTTTTCTTCAGAATTTTTACCCCAAGTACAGTTTAATACATACACTTTAATTATTAATTAATTTTTAATAACCAAAAATTTAATAAAAAGAACATGATTTTATTGCCGTTACCGTCACCGTTAGAGCCGTTACACCGGTACAGTCCATGCATTACGTATTGCAAAATTAAAATAATATTAATTCTAATTAAACTGCCTCGTTTTAAATAATATTATTGCATATTTTATAAATTTTGCAATTAGTCCAGGCAATTATCAACACTTATTACTTTTACTTACACTTATCCTGGCTAAATTTGTCTCTTTAAATATACATTTGCAATTGTATTCTAAATTACTTTGCTACAACAGATGTTTTAGCATAGAACTGCTA